GCTCTTATTACTATTTACCTTCACTGAACATGTTTGCTGTATAACAGATTTTCAGTAAGTTTTGGCACACCCATTCCATTGGAAAAGTATTTAGCTGAATTCAAACAGAACCAACAGAGATTAGTTATGTGTTAGCTCAACAACAAGAAGTCTTTCTGGTTTCCTAGGACTGTTTTGAAAGCAAGAGAGATTCTGTTGTCAGTGTTTTTGGTTTATTTTAATGCTCTAAGTGATCTTAACTAAAGCCATCTCACATTGTTCCCCATCTGCCTCCTGTATATCCAACAGCTCTGACCTTGTTGTGAAGTTTTATAAGCACTTCGATATCAGCACTGCATGTTCAGTCAATTCAAAGTTCTTTCCTCTTCAAGCACGTGACTGTAACTGTCAGTGGTATGATTAGTAACTAATTACAAGGAAAAAAGGAATTGGACGTGGATTATTAACAAAAGATGGTCAAGCCTCCCCTCCCCCCCACATGCTAAAAAGATATTTTCTTGCTCTTAATCCCAGCGTGGTCTTAGCACAATCTAATCTCATATCTTCAAAAATGAGAGGAACTTTTGAAAAGTGCTCTTTTATAAACTGCCACTTTATCCTGCTCCTATGCAAAGAGAAACAGGGACAGAGGTTTTCCAGCAATCTGAGCAAATAAATGGTTGGTTTTCTTTAAGAGCAGACTTCCATCTTTGGAAGGAAGAGTACAAATAAAATTTAAAGTAAGGTAAGCTTTATTAAAAACTTGCTAGATGTTTAGCACAGTAAGAAAGTTCAGATAAAGTAGAACATCTATTATGCACAGCTAGAAAGCACTTCAAAGTGCAGGACTCCACATGGGTGCCAAGGGAAGCACTAAAATTACTGCAATGAACCTCCCAATATATTTCCAAGAGCATAATGGTGTTTGCAGAAAACGCTTCCATCAGCCTGTGCTAACACACCCTTTCAGCTCTTCACATTCGCAGCAAGCTTCCTTCAGTTTCTAATTGCTCACAATGCGTATCTGGTGACACACAAGAGTTCATGGGAGGTCCTTAGAGAACCTCCAACAAGCTAAGATGGTTGGGATAGATGACAGTGCACTTGAAGAGCAGAACACTGCTGCAGTGTGTAGAAGATGCACCATTTCTGGCAGTATGAAGCTGGTAAGGTGGCAAGGGTCATGGGAAAGCAAAGGAACTGATCATTAGATGAGGAAATTAGGTTGCTGAACAGTAAAAATGAGTAAGGGTTACAGGAAAAGCAAGTAGTAATGTAGTTAACTGTGCTGAGAATTTGTGAGGAGTTGGGCAATGGGACAGAGCACATGAAGGAGGCAGGGGGTTATGGGGAGGAAAGGGGAAGGCAGGAACTGCTGTTCATGGGGTGGGTAGAAGTTTGCATGTATGAAACATGAAAGTCATCGAGAGGAAAGGAAAAGACAGTGATGCCAGGCTAGTAAATAGAACAACGGGTTCCAAGATACAGCAGTAGAAGTGATACATGAATACGAATAGCATGAATAGTTGGAAAATGCCAGTTAATTGAAAATAAAGCTATCTATAAGAAGAAACAATGTCAATAAAGTCCTTATTAAGAAGTAAAAAAAAAAAGTTCTGAAATTTTAAAATGCTTTTTCTTTGTCATTTTATGAATCATAGCATTGTAACTTTTTGCCTCAGTTTGGAACAAGGTAGGGTCTTCAAAAGCTCTAAAAACATCCCTGAGCTGGCCTGAAAATTCTCACATTTTGCTCTGAAGGGCATTGGGATTTACTACCGGGGTGGTACTGATTCAGGATGTAAGTTTTTTGCAATAAAGATAGTATAGGTGCACATTTTTTAGGGAAAAGACTTACGTGGCTATTGGTAGAATCACAGCATACAGGCTCTTTCCCCTCCCAAGCTCTGAAACACGGTCACCATCTACCCTAACCACCGTAAGAAAGTATCCACAAATCACTCTACTGCCTTCCTTTACCCTCTTGAACAGTTGCTGATTCCTTCCCCTGCTCCCAGCAGGGCACCATACAAAGTTCAGGCAAAAGCCTTTGAGATTAAGTTTTAAGTGATTAAAACTTCCATTATTTTGTGAACTTGTTCCACATATTAAAAAGCCCTAATGGAAGTTGCACACATTTGTGCAAGTAGGTAGGCACATGATGAGAGGAATTAAGGAAATTAATTCCTGTGCTTTGGACAGAAGTAATCTTCCAGAATGTAATTGGCTTTCAAGCATTCACACATAACATGCCCTTCACCTTTAAATGGTAATTAATTTTAACATACATATTTCAAATTCCATTTATGTCAGGGTTCAGGAAAGCTCCTATTGCCCTAGCCAAACACACGATATTCGTAGTCTTATCCTGGACAAAATGTAAGAGCGTAATTCAGATTTCTGATCTATGTTTCTTTACAACGTTTTACCATTTGTATGTGACCCTTAGCAGGGAGAAATGCAGAAGAATGCTTCCCGAGACAGAGTTCAAGAGACAGCTCCCTCAGCAATGCAAGGCGATTACTACATCCTTCCACGGAATATACCTTCTCTTCTTGCTGCATTGAACTCTCTTTGGACATGGTAAAGTGGATACAGTCTCCACGACTTTTCAGGGCTTTGCCTAGACCATACTAGAGCTGTGCAAACCAGAGTGACCACACACATAGCTGCATCTGCTTTAATAAAAGCAATGGAAGTCTGGGAAATCCCACGACGCAGCACCTTCCTTCTTCCATGGTCGTGAGAGAAAAGACTACAGAGGAAATTTTTGGAAAATTTAGGCTTGACCTAGTTGCTTCTGAGATGTCGGCCCACCCTCTCCGCTTGATGTAGCGGCAACATGCGATAGGTGAAATGTATCCCTCTGATAAAATGGCCTTCTGTAGGTCAGGTGCAGTATTTAAATCCACTACTTGTCTATACTTTTCTTTCGCATGTCACATCCTATGACCATGTGATACTGCATCTCCCTCATACTAATATCAGCCCTGTATGACAACCTGGGAGATTGCAACGTTGGCATCCCCACCCAAACGGTTAGGCATATCCTGGACGACAGATGTTTATATTTAAATTGGGACTAATTTGTATTTTGTGTATTGTGGCTTTGTTAAAGCTTAGTCTTAGTAATGAAAAGGAATACATAATTCTGAAATAGTAATACTTTTCTTTGAAAAGCCAGGTTTCCTAATGGATTGCCATCTGTTCAACCCTTTGCCAGGAAACAGATTTGTCCTGCTTACTGCAAACAGTATTAGGGTGAAACTGTAGATTACACAGTGGATTGCTGAGCAGTTTAATTTAAAGTGCATGCTAGCGCTTTGTTATTTCAGAAATAACAACTATAGTTGTTTCTTTTCTAGCAAAGCTTGAATTTACACAAATCCATCCAGCAAACTGTATTTAGAATACTTTATGAGGTGTTTTGCTCTTCGATTCCAATAAAGTCGCCTAAAAATCAAAATTTATCATGTTGAAACTGAGCTCATCAGGTTTCTTTTGCATAGCAAGGAGCTCTCTGTCTTATTTTGAGAGCCCTTCTTAATCTTCCAGAAAGAAGATTTTGAAAGACAAGACGTTGACCTAAATCATGCATTCAGAAGTCCAAGACTTATGCATGCTGGGAGCCTCTAAATGCAAGTTAGGAAGAAAGATGCCCCAGCAATTCAGAACGCTGTCGGGAGCTGTTTGACCTCTTTAACTCGTGCAGCCAAAGCAGCAAAACAAATGAAGATGGTAAGTTACTCTCCTCTGTAACCCAGAGAAATCTGGTAACGTTTCTGCAGAGCCTTCTTAGAGGCACACACCTACGGTCATTGAGAGGTCCAATTTGTACAGCCTGGAGGCAGAAGTTGAGTTTCAACGTAACCTCAGGAGCGCAGTACCCTCTGGCATCATCTCCATAAGGTTAGTGACAGTGTCTTAAAGCTAGGAAAACATCAAGCCTGCTCTCTATATCTGGACCAAGTACTCATCCACACAAATACCTAGACGCACTGTTTTACACAGTACCGCC